AGTGCTTTTCAGGTGAAACCAAATGAAAAAGCTCATAGATTTCATTATAGCCAAAGTTTTTCAGTGGGCTTATTTATTTATTTATGTATTTTGATACTGACATTTTGGTGCTTTTAAAAATTCTTACACTGGGAGGTTAAAGCAGGTAGAAGTATGGTATGACACATGCAGCAGCTTTCTACATTAGCCTATTAGAATGAGTATCTATATTCACAGTAACATGGAAAGGTCAGCTGAGTTGATCGTACCTTTAGACATAGCTTTCAAATGTATATCCTTGGAAACACTGCTTGGTGACATTTTAGTAGCAACCTGAGTTTTCACTTGACCATAGCACGGCAATAAAACAAATATTTACTAAGTGCTAGAAGCTGTATCAGAATGAGAGTCACAGAGATGGTGCTGCGTAGCTTCTTCATGTACCGAAGACTAGTTTTCATATTTCTTTCTGTGTTGCTGCTGGTTGGGAAGATGCTGCTGCCTTGTATAGCTATTTCTGACTTACTGTATTCCCTGGGAGTGAAACTTGGACAACTTACAGGAACAAATCTGGAATCAGAATGCACCCAGCAGCTTCCTAATGACTAGGGTTTCTTATAACCTTTTTTTTTCTTTTTTTTTTTTTGTTTTTCCTCCTAAACAGTCTAAATAATAGTTTTAAAAGTTTGCAATATGCTGTTATGAGCTTTTGTTGTAGCTCCTGAGGGGTGAAGCAAGACTTCAGAGAAGACAAACGTGTCAAGTAAAACCTGGGAAAACACTCTCCTGTGATTTAGGAAATGGGAAGTGTATACATAAACACATTCAAAGACAGAAATTTCAAAATATCTGTAAATAAAATAAGGATTCAATATTCTTCATATAAAATTGTTTTGAGAGCTATCTTTCTGTTTGTCATTGCTCTCAGCAATGTTTCATTTCTTCTTGGACTGAAATTCATCTTAGATCTTCTTTGGGAATTTGGTGACTTGTATGACTTGTATTGTTATTTGCCTTGACACCAAGGCAACTTTCTATAAACTGATCTTGCATGTAGCATGTTCCACAGAGGCTAAGCAGTGCAGGGTCTGACATAACACTTAAGTATACTTCAGTAGTCTGGAGGCTTCTGTATGCCTTTTAAAGTGTTATTAAGGAATTAAACAGTATGCTGAAATGACCTATCAGAGAAAAAAGGAGAATATCTTCCCAATAACTTTTTTTTTTTTTTTTTTTTTTTTTTTTTTTTTGTGGAAAACAGGTGTCATTTGCTTAGTATTCTAACACTTTAGCTCTTCAGATACTTAAATTCTGAGCTTCACTGAGTAAATTTAATTGTTCTCTGGAAGCCACTAGATAGTGTTGTGCTTATCTATTGCGATTTGTTTCTGAATCATTGTAGGAAAAGGAATGCCTAGTTTTATATTGTCATAATATATTATTTTACTGGGTTTATTAAAAAGTCTTGGAACCTAAATGGAAGATGATAAAGTCAACCTGAGTACATGGGGGGGAGGGAAAACAACAACAACAAAAAAGAAAACAAAACAAAACAAAATGAAGAGAAACACATTAACAAAAAGTGCAAAAAAATAGAATATCACATTTTGGAATGCCAGCATGCAGGACAATATCTACAGAGTCTTTATTTAGCTGTTCAGTTAAAGTACAGTTGGAAAGGTTTTAATTGCCAGATCTTGTGGAGTTTTATTCTTCTTGCAGGACCCCTGCCTTTTACATTCTGTATACGTGTGTGTATATATATATATATCTATATATATATTTTTTTTTTAATATATATATATGGTTTATATATGCATTTATACACAGTTGTACAGTGTTCACCATGGGGTTAGTTCTTATTTTTTTTTTTTTTATACTGGACTATATGGTACATGGCTCTAAGCATTATTTACTTTGCCATCCAAACCCTACAGAGTACAAAATTACTAGTTTCCTTGTGTGCTCATTTGTTACATTCTTTAGTGGTTGTATTGAACTGCTTCACAAACCCTAATGAATTTATCATCACAGTGATCTTATGTGTTTTTTTGCTTCATGTATCTTATCCATGTTTAGTGCAGAACAGAAGAACAAAATTTAAAATAGGAAGTTTTTACTAATTCGGTTCTTGGTCCAGTTTTCCATTGGGCTTGATAGAGTCTCAGTTCCTCCTGATTTGAATGCCCAGGGTACATCAGTCACCATTTCTGGTTTTAGAAGCCTTTGAGATGCAAGTCACTTATCTCTGAGGTGAGGTATGTTTTTTTTTTTTGTTTTGTTTTTTCTCTCCCCACTATATGCTCACTTTGTTCTTACACTGTAACTGTATATCCACTGTTGGTCAGTACCAAGGTCACTGGGGAGATGGTACCGGAGTAGATAGATCTGTTTTGATACTACCATTCTTACTTGCTGTAGGAGAAAACTGATTCAGTCACAGAGTTTGGCTTTTTTCATATGAAAGAAAGTGGGTCTTTTTGGCTGGGGAGCAACAACAAATGAGAAGGAAAGGAAAGGAAAAAGATCAGTGTATATGCATGTCATGCAAGGCAGCATTCAAAGATCCATTTGTGCCTAAGGGACCCGAACTGAATTGCAACATACACCTTTGTTTTATTGCATACCCTTTGGAGTGCTTTGCCTCTCAGTCTTGACCTCTAACAGAATTATTAAGTCTGGATATTTATTTTTTGTTTTTTGAAGTAAGCAGGAAAAAAAAATCTGTCACATGGAACCACACTGGTCTTGACATAGGGCCTTGAATTACATAGCAATCTAACTTAGCAAGCTGATAAACTGCCAATTTTTATTATTATTATTTTCAGGTAAACTAGCTACTACAGATAAAGGCCTTAGGATTTCAAACTGTACTTGCAGACAGCAGAAGAATATTGAGACTCATGTGCATGTCCATAGACATGAAGGGTTTTTGTCATGTACCTATAAACAGCAGGTATCCCAATTAATAAAGCAGCGTTATAAAATATCAATGTTGTAATTATCATTTTTGTTAGAATGAGTGTATCTCAATGCTATCAGTTCTAATATTCAGAGGAAATTTCTTTTTCGGCAATTTTCGTTTGTGAAACACTTAGCCCCTTATTATTCAGTGTTTCTGAAAGAAAATCTAAAATAATCATGGTATTATTTACAAGTGAAACTAAGATTAGTAAATAAACTAAGAAACTAAGAATAGTAAACCATAAGGTACATAACTATCACTGAGCAAATGCAAAACTGTGCATTGAGGAACAAAGAATTAAAGTAATTTGCAAATAATGTGGCATTACATTTTGGAAAACAATGAATTCAACTTACGCAACTTTAAATCAGGGTGAATTTACATAGCTTGTATGACTTATGTGATCTAAACTGCTACTTAGTGAAATGAAAGAAAAAATTTCCAGTCACTGGGATTGTGTATGCATGCTCAACACTAAGCCAGCCCTAAATCATTGTGTTTCTGTAGAGGCAGAATCACTCAATTTGTTATGATACAGTTCCATTAAATATATATATAGAGAGAGACATCTTATATGAAAAATAATGTGCAAAGGCAGGCAGGTGCCTGACTGTGGCTTCTATGTCTTAAGGAGTATCCAGATTGCAGACAAGATGATACTGGTGTTAGTAAATGTAGCACAGCATGAGCATTGAATTTGTGCTGTATGGCTCTGAAGTACAGCATTTATAAGCTTCATTGGCATCATGTTTCTAGGACTGTTTTCTGGAAATTTCTGTTACCTATTCCAAGTCTTTCCATGCTACCTTAAGAATATTAGCAGAACTATGAAGAATGAAGCCCAAATCCTCTAGCCCTCAGGGAACGTATTTTGCTTTCTGGGCAGCTACGCTGAGCCCATTAAAAATACCACTATTGCCAGTAACTGGATGATTATCTACTTATTGCTGTTATTGCACCTCTGACCTCTACCTGTGACAGTGAATTTAATTACTGGACAATGATACACATACAATTTTGCTCAAATTAAATTTAACCCAGAAGAGCAGTTACCATGGCTGTTATTTGGGGGAAATTTGGTTTGGGTGAATTTATAGCAATGGGACATGTATAGCAATGCGACAGCACAAATATTATATAAGGTAAATCCATGGAAGCTGGAAGATCACTGGAAAATTATGATGAAAATATTGCACAGTTGCTGAATGTTTAGGAGTGTCTAACACACCTATGTCATGTCACCTCCAGCACAGTCACAGAATCAAGAGGGTTGGAATGGACTACTAGAAGTCATCTAATCCAACCTCAGCTAAAAGCATGTGCAGTTGGACCAGGTTGCCCAGGGCCATGTCAAGTTGGGTGTTGAATAACTCCAAGGATGGAGATGCCACAACCTCTCTGGGCGGCCTGTTCTGTGTTTCTTCCTCACTCCATTTTTCCTTAAGAAAAATAATGGTTGATTGAACCTTGTGGAAGCCAGTATTTACTAACTGGCTTTTGTATGAAAAATATGCATTAAACAATGAATACTAGAACTTTAAAGTATCTACAGTCCAGTGTCCTGAGGGGAGTAAAAGAGTGAACTGAAATAAAAGGTCTCCAAAAAGCACCAGCAGTCTGGTTACTGGAGATCGCTTGCCTGATGAGCTTGTAACTGGGATACTAGTCTTGTTTGGACCTTTTGGACCTCATCCCATGAATGGATGAGCATCCGTGGATTGTTTCAAAGAAATTGCTAAAGGCAATTAGGGAAAGCAAAGCAAAGTCAATGTATGTTTACATTGTTAGGAGATCTGCATCTTCACTGGAAAAATTCAAGACCTGCAGGTTTACAAAGTTGAAAAACCTTGAATTACAAAGAAATGACCAGGAAAGTCATCTTGTTGAAGTTGTTATAGGCCCTTTCATGACTCTGGATAGTTTACATTACCTGAAGATCTTCCCTAAATAAATGTGTATAATGACCTTAATCTTTTCCTTCCTTCCTGAATCATGGAACATCTATTTAAAAAGATAAAGGTCTCTCATATCTCTGTTTCTATTTTTTTTTTTTTAGAAGAAATGCTTTGTCAACGATCTTCAAAAAAGAGGAAGAGGTATGCAGCCAACAAGAAGGTAAACTTTGACGATAAAAAATACTTTTAATATATGTATAAGGTTTGATTATACTGCTTGAGATACTAAACAGTCCTTAGTTTCATGCATTTAAATAGATTCATGATTTATCCATGTGCCTTTCCCATAGAAAAGCGAGTCTATGGAATACCATGTAAAATATTGTTTATTTTTTTCCAGTTTCAAGTGTCATGGTAGTTAAGTGCAGCATAGCGATTACATTATTGTTTTTCTGGGGACTAAAACTGACCTTACTTTGCCATCAGGGGAGAATTTTTACATGGATAATTCTTACTGTTACTTCATTACAGCTATATTGAATTGAGCAGTGCTTAGCCTGACTTGAGGATTATTCATCTGACTACTGAATTCAAATAGTATTTCTATAGTATGTGAAATATTATCATCTTTAATAAGAGACATTTAATCATCTCTGTTTATTGATGGTGACATCTTATGTTCTATTATTTTTATTTCCAAGTGAAAGCAAAACAAAGCGAACCACTCACAGAGGATTCAGCTTTCTTTAAACTTATGCTAGTACATTGTTAGATGCTCTAATTAACTTCTATGTGATGGTCTTTCAGTGCAAGATGCATGACTGTTTTGCTTTCATGCCTTCATATTATGCTTCCAGTTAATAATACTCACCAGTAGGAAACAATGATAAAATACATTAAAGACTACTTTGATCTTTGTCCTCTCTATTGAATAGTATTTTTTGGTTTTGATGTTGTCCTGCTGCTTATTTGCTAGCTCACGTAGTCTAGGAAGATAAAAGGTAATATCAGTACTTCAGAATCTCCTATCAGCTCGTGCTGAAGCATTTAGCATTGGTTCTTGCTCTTTTCTCAGTTGGCATGTTCTGTTTAAAACCACCGGTCCTCCCTTTTGGTACTGATCAGTGTATTTCTACTTCAGAAATAGTGTGTTCCATTTATCTTTCTGCAAGGTTCTTGCTCCTCATTGTTTGACATAAAAACATAAGATTTCTGGATTAAAATTAGAACAACTGCTGCTGCTGTTACTGCTGCTTCTGTAATCTGTTGTTACTGCCTGTTCCCTGCTGCAATCTGTTATGTCACGACTGACTGTTTTAAAAAGCAGTCCAGGGCAGAAATTTCTTGTTAGTCTCAGAAGATTTGCTTATAGATTTAGTTGCAAATAAAGTTGAGGTGAATATGTTTGCATGGATTTAACCCTATGATTACATATGTTATCTGAACTCTTGAATGTTTGAGAACCACTCTCACAGTTGGTGTAATTCAGCTGAGCACAGGGCCTTAGTTAGACAGTGTCTCTCTTTTGCCTCTAGAGCACTATTTCCTACATGTTTCTATCATATTTTTTAAAGTGACAAAATGTATAGGCATCACGTAAGATGCAGAAAGTATATTCTAACGGTGTTTCAATAACTATATGGCACACAAAATACATAAAATACAGATAGAAGTCACTCTGAAAAGGAGAGGATACATTTTATCATGCACTCCTTTAGTGTTGCATTCTGTACCTTAATCAGATACTGGAAAACAGTTCCACCTGTGCTGGGTTTTAACTGTACTTACCAAGAACTTAAGTGTACATTACCTTCTCTTTATCATATGGTCCAAGTTCAACTCTACGTTTTACATGTCAACCAGAATGTGGTTGATTTTTGTTTGTTTGTTTTTAGCAAACAAAACCTACCATTTTAAAGATGCTCAGTGGAGTACAAAATGTGAAATAAATTAAAGTGTAGTGAAAATGATGAAGCTGAATGAGGCTCATTTGGCAACATCAAAAAAAACATTCAAAGTATCTTGGTCTCCTTTGACTACATACCTCACATGAGTGATTATCTTAACTCTGCCTTTCCAGTGAGTTGACTGCCAAAGCAAAAACAACAAATAGCATCTCATGCATTCAAGACAGAAGTCCATACCTATATTTGCAGTGTCGTTTTTGAAACTAAATTGTCATCCTTGCAGGTGAAAGCAGCCATGAAAACAATCGTGTTTCATTGACAAATGGATAGCATAGTACTACTGGTTCATTTCTAATAAGGTAAGGTAATCATTTTTTAAATGGTTTAAACTTACTACCCTGCTGCAACCTATCACTGTTTCATGCCAGCCACTTCTAAGAAATAGACCTGAACATCATTCACCACACTCTATCCAAACAATGAGCCTGAATCCAATTTATTAGAACAGAATGAATATAGCCTTTAACTTCTCTACAGAGATACTATTGTTAATTAAATCAAAGGCCCTTCCATACACAGTGCTAACAGTTCTAGCCCTGCATCCATTCTCCAAACAGTGTATGACATTGATGGATAAACTCAATTAAAGCTTGAGCATTAGAGAAGTAATGTGGAGAGCTGAAGTGATCTTTACCAATCCACCTTTAAAAATTGCAATAAATATTTCAAAATGAAATGTTCATAAATTATGGTGCGGATACCCGTTAGTGAGATTGGATGGAAATTCAATTCAATTATTCTAACTTAGTTTGCTTTTGGTTAGGCAATGGCATTTGCTTTCTCTCCAATTATGTTATAGTATCTTACAAATGGATTAAAAACTTAATGTAAACAGGGCAAAAAACGCTTCCACTTTTTCCATAGCTAACAATGAAATGGGATCCTGTCTGTGGTTCAACATTTTCTCTCAGTTTGTCTTTTACAAGGTAACTAATACATGTATTTTTATGTTATACATGGACAGTATCTAAGTATATATACTAATTGCTGTTACAATGTGCTAACTCCTAAAGGAAAACACACCAGGAGTTAAAAACAAAACAAAGAAACAACAGCAAAACAAAAAAACAACCAACCTAACCAAAACAAAATAAGCAAACAAACAAACAAATGCATGTACACAACACTGATAAGCTGAATTACTTTCCCTAGAATGTTAAAACTGTGCTTGGGGATTGACCTATTGATTGACACAAAATGATTGATTTAGAGGAAAAAAAGAAAAGCAAAAAGAAGAGGAGGGCTGTTTGGTTAAACCCTCCTGCATTTATTGTGAGTGAGATGTCAGTGTCCTTGTCATGTCTGCCTGTACAGAGGGCACTGCTTTTCAGTGTCTTTCACTAACTTCCCTTCACAGAAGGCCTTTAAAGCTGGTTTAACTGCTGAGGCAAGATTTTTCTCTGTATAGAGGAAACTGTCAGATGAAAGGCTTATCATAAAGGATATTTGCATTCCATCAGTCTCCTGTAGCTAGACCTGCTTTTCCAGACTACAGGCAGCTAGGCACAATTTAGTGCAGACCTCAGGCTGTTTCTACAGTGTAATGCTGGTAACTGGAAAGTCAAGGAACTAGAAATGAAGTGTAAAGCCATGTCTTTGTGGTTTTTCCCCCACCTTCTTCGGTCAAGTACCTTCAGCTTGTGTCCTCATTATTTGGTTTATAGTTTGTTCCTTTACGGTTGTTGAGTTTTAATAACATTTACAAGAAAAATCTACAAAGTCAAGAATGAAGTTTTAGGAGATTTTCTCATTATTAAAACTTCAAAACTGAATTTTGCTGAAACATCCATCTTTAATGCGTTTTAATCAGTGCTGTTCCTAGGCTGAAATGCTGATTTTGTCAGGGAAATATTTCAATAGCCATGATCTGAATTTTTTAGATATATCTTATTAGGCTTTCCACAAGCTTTATTTTGGACGTGTGTTTGTATTTTAACAACTCTGATGGCTTCAAAATTTTATAATCCTGCTTATTTTGCCAGGGAGGAATTGAACTAAAAATACCCAATTTTTAAGTACCTGTATTCAAAGATGGCTGTTTAACTAATTTTAACTAATTATAGTGGAAATAATTAAATTACTTCAGACCTCATGAGATAACTTTATTGGGATTGAAACCTGCTAATGTATTAACAGCTAAAGTGCCTAAATATAAATGAAGGTGGGAAAACCTTTAATAGTACATTGAAATCAAAGATACTGAAAACAGATCCTCAGCCAATGCTTTTCTAGACTCTCAGAAAAGCGGTTTTAATGTGAACACACGCTTTCCTATCCTCCACCTATCCTCCATTTGTTAAAGTCTACTAAAATGGTAATGGAAAAGATGTCTGTATATATGATGAGGTAATACATTTAAATCACTCTTCTCTGAAGATTAGTGACACACAATATTTAAACCTGCTAATCTCACTGATGGGTGCATAAGGAAGACTTGCACATCTAATAGCTTTTATTTAATTAATATGCAATTATTTTTGCAGCTGGGAGGATGGTCCCAGTGGCTAAGGTACTGGATTTGAATTTAATAATCTAGGGTCAGTTTTTGTTTAAGGCTCAGCTATCCTTTGTGGCATAGGATAGTTCATCTCCATTTCCCTGTGCCCCTGTTCTCCATCTGTAATATAAAGATGATATTTCCCTCTGAGAGCTTTACAAGTCTAAAAAAAACTTTGTAGTTGTGACAGTTTCAGATGCTGTGGTGAAGTGGCTGACTTCTGCCTCCACAGAGAGACATTAAATTCAGGCAATTTGAGAAAGAATCCACCAGACATTAGCCATGTCTCTTACAGGAGTCACTGATGCACCTTATCATCACGCAATAAACTGGTGACCTTTACAGAAATATCTGCTTCAAATACAATAGGGGCAAAATCAGAACAGTCTCTGTGTAACCAAATTATGCTTGTCAGTTGGCATGGTTGTGTGTGACCCAATTAAGTGAATATTGGACAGTAATGTTGGTACTAACTTTAAAGGTACAAATAGCCTTTTTTGATCTGTCTGTTGAATAGACAGAATTAGGCCAGATTCAGGTAAGAAATATTTCCTACTGTAGGTGGCTTACTCTATGTATTTTTTTTTAAGTGGAAGGATTTTTTTAAGGAAGGACAGGAATGATTTTTCAGTCACATAAATACCGTAAATGCACTTAGGAGCATGAAACAAGATGCTGCTGCAAAACACTTGCCCCTTGAACCCTACTGCTTCAGCCTGTGAGCATGCTCTTAAGCAAGTGTGATGATGGTGTTTCACTGCTTATGACCTGTCTGGAGCCCTTTTTTGGCCAAATATTTAGCTGCATTTCACTCTACTAATCTAGATGATCACCTAGTCTCCTGGTGACCTTTCTTATCTTTGTAAGTTTGGTAATGATACATTTGCAGAATTTAGACACCCTAAACCGAATCGCATTCCTATGGATGAGAGGGAACCTAGGAATTAAAAAGTGGGACAGCTGTTACAGTATCACTCGATTTCTTATACATGTCCAGGTTTTAGTCCAGTTTTAAAGGAATGTTTAGTTTGCAATGCAAGATGCATAACGGTCTATTAAAAAAAATCACCTTTAAATAGCCATATTAATAATTATATTAATTTCAGGAGAAGAAATGGATAAAAATTTGTTTATTCACATTTAAAAGTTGGTTCATATCAACCAATGACTGAGCCTTCAGCTAAGTATTCTTCTCAGCAAACAGTCCCGGAAATCCTTTCAGTCTCTTAAGCTGCATCCAGGCAGTGTGGTTTTTCTCTTCCTACATTATATTTGAGAAATTGGCTGTGGAAGATGTCCTGGATGATCCAAGCTTCAAATAGATCTTTGACTTTATCCCTTTCAGTCAGCCATCTCTGCAGTGAGGTATGACTTGGCATCAGCTTATCAGACTTGTTTTCCTTTGACCCCTGGAAGGTGCTGTTCTGGGAACAAAAGAGCGGCGTATTCTGTGGCCATGCCTTTTGTGAGTTCCTTGTGTTGGCAGTGCAGGGTCTGGAACAGATGAGCTCCACAGTGATTTTCTCAGGAATATGAACAGTAAAAAAACAGCTCTTCAAGTCACAAATCACACCAGTGTCCTTCAGGAGCACAGTTTGCAAGGTGGATGGTGATTTGTCTGACATTTCGGTTCTAAGAGACTGACCTTATCTTTGTGAGCTGTTTTTGCACTAGGAAAAAAAAAAAAAAAAAAGTTCTAAAACTATGGTCACTCTAACAGAATTGACTGCCGGACAAATCACCATTCCTCTAGCAAATGGTTAGGAAGCCTCTGATGTATTTGTCTATGCTATCATCTAGCATCTATCGGTAATAGACTACAGGATAATGAATACGATGGAGTTGTGATGTTTGGACTAGTGTTAATAGTTCATTTTATCTGGACTGTAGATTATGCTTCTTCCCTCAGCACTAAAGATTTTTATATATTCAGGAGCGCTCAAAGTTTTGGGTCAACAGACACTTTCCTAGAGGACAATTTTCTGAATTTTGTTCATATGTAAGCATACTCTACTGGTGTTCTTGGAGTCATTAATTTGGATTTTTGGATTAAATATAAGTTAGAATTTTTCCACCATAAAATACAGAACTAAGGAAATGTCAGAAAAAAATTGACTCTTTTTAAAGTTCACACTCACCTATTTTCTTCCATTTTCATTCATATTAGAGCTTTCTTGGTTACCGTTCAGATCATTTTACTTTTTTGTTGTGTTGTAAGGTCAGTCCAAAGTCTGATAGTTTTTGCTGTGTAATGGTAACCTTCTCTATATTTATTTTAGTCAGGCCACGCACTGGAGCAAGTCAAGGAGTGAAAGCATCGTTCTGTTCTGTCTGTCCTCCATAAGCAGCAGGACAGAGCTTGATGCAATAACACTTTTTTTTTTTTGTTCTGCTTCACAGTTAATCATCTCTATTAGAAAGTGTACTAAGTGATAATGTATTAGTTAGATGTCAAAGAAAGCTATAGAGATAGTAAACCTTTGGCAAGTGTAGAAATTCAACCGTGTTTTTGATCTGCTGGGAACTGGTGAAGGAGCGATCCTCGGGGACCACCTCACCCCGCCTAGCAGTGGGTGTTCTGTCTCGGGGTCTCCCTGTGGCCACCTCCTGCTCAGATGCTTGTCAGTCTGCAGGGTGACATGCTGTGGCTATTCCTGTCATGCAAGCACTTACGAGGCATTCAGTAACCCACCAAAAGCTATTTCAGGTAGTGTTGTCTTTTAGGGCCTAGCACTAAGAGAAACTACCACAAAATTACCACTTCAAGTGTTGTCCACCTTAATGGATCCTCTTCTGTCAGAA